CTGAATAGAACATTTTGATAGGAATTTTAGTTGGGACATGTTCAGAAATTTAGCTCTTTTGGAAAATCTTGGTGGCCCTGAAAAGGGCCGACAGTAGTACAAGCTTAAAGCCTTTGGAAGATGATGATGATGTGTAGGTAGCTGGATCAGTAAATAAGACCGGACAATCCCATATTTTTCGGTTCAATGATTGATTGGCACTGGTGTCTGCGACAAGTTGGAAGGGCGCAGAATATCAGTGTTCACCCAGCTAAACCCAACAAACAATCGCCTATTGAAGAAACGACTTCTTGGCCATTTTATTCAACTACATGCTTAATAGTACTTGTACTATTTTTAATAATAACTTCTGTTCAGTATTTGTTCACACAAATCTGGAGAATTTATTCAACCACAACACATTGAACTACTGGTGTTGTATAAGGTATGTCGAGAAGCTTTTATTCGACTTATATGAGTTGTAACAGAGTTTTATACGATAACATTTTTGATTATTCAGCGTTTATTAGACATCACTGCTTCCTTAAACCAGTGATTGCTCTTCTGTATACGCTTGATTCTCATGTGAAGTAATGTTTAATTAGATATCATTATACATTTATTAAACGATTATTCAAACTGTGGGAAAATTAACCCGAAATAAGAGGCAGGGGGACAAGGACAAGGAAGGGTGTGTGTGTTTTCTTAAGTGTATTGTATATTTCAATATTGCTGACGTGGCTCGCACCACACAGATATTAGAAAATTTATTAAATACTTATAACATGCCGTTGTTTGGGAATCGAACCATGTACCTTCCGATCACCAGCCGCTTGCCTTGTCATCTGAGTTATCCTAGAATTCATGTGTGTGTTTTCTTAAGTGTATTGTATATTTCAATATTGCTGACGTGGCTCGCACCACACAGATATTAGAAAATTTATTAAATACTTATAACATGCCGTTGTTTGGGAATCGAACCATGTACCTTCCGATCACCAGCCGCTTGCCTTGTCATCTGAGTTATCCTAGAATTCACCATATGGGCAACTCAATGATCTATAAAAGCTTGCATGAAAATAAATACCTATCGGCACTCCCGATCGCAACTCCAGCTCCTTCAAGGCCCTGTGGGAATGATTAATTCATTCATCGTTGTTTTAAATGAGACCAATGTTGCCTCTTTCCATCTCCAAATCGAAAGAAAGGATGTTCGGTTATATTTTAAATTAGATCAATGCATTCATTGTCGTGAGTCATGTGATCTATGATTACTATTTAAATTAATTATGTTCTACACAAATAAAAAAAGGGTTGAGCTTGAGATTGAACTCATGACCTTCTAATTGGAAAGCGGAAACGGTAACCACTACTCTACTGATTTCACCTTGTTGTAAGACTGAATCAGTGTTATCGAATAATGAATCTAATACGTCGTTTATAAAGCATTTACAAATCATGTGATTACAACATGGACGCATAGTGGTATAAGAGCTATTATGCTGACTGTATTCACCTTTATTCAGCAATATTGTAAAGTGATGCAATGAAATCTAATAAAGGAGCTGGAGAACATTTATTAGACGTCTAAAAGCATGTTATCAAATCAATTGAAAACAGTCGAATCAAAGTGTCAATGTATGTACAAATTACACTTATTCAGTTTGTTATTAGATCGAACTTCTGGCGTTGAATTGGGAAGACATTTAACACTTTTACAACTTTCAATAAGTTAATTAATCAGATCAGAGCAAAAAGTGGAACCATGAGCTTTTTCAGCACATAATACGACAACTCTTTTTATTCAGCATTGTACACTGTTATACAGCATTTATTCAAAATATATGCTTATTTGTGACTTTGAATTGTTTTTTGGTGGTATAAGAGCTATTTTGCTGAGTGTATTCACCTTTATACAGCAATATTGTAAAGCAATGCAATGAAATCTAATAATTGAGCTAGAAAACATTTATAAGACGTTTAATAAAGCATTTTATTCAATCATTTGAAAACAGTCGAATAAAAGCGACAATGTATGTGCAAATTATACTTATTCAGTTTGTTATTAGATCAAACTTGTGGTTCTGAATAAGGAAGACAGTCAACGTTTATAAAGCTTTTAATAAGGAAATTAATCATATCAGAGCAAACGGCGGAATAAAAGCGCATCTATCGATCTCAATGAGCTTTTTTCAGCACATAATTCGACATCTTGTTTTATTCAGCATTGTACACTGTTATACAGCATTTATTCAATGTGCATGCTTATTTGTGACTGTGAATTGTTTGTTGGGAAGCTCATTCCCTTTTTAGTTTTTTCTCGTTAAACTCCTTCTCTCAACAAGTTGGTAAATCTTAGCAGCAGAAAGAAGCTTAACACTATTTTCGGCAAGTTTATGGTTCTTCTTTATGCCTGTTCAGATAAATTAGTACTTTTCTTTCACAGCTGAAAAAATCTATACGATTAATCGTTAATCGAATAAGTGTAAAAGTCCGCTAGGCATCCTTAGAAAATAGTGTAATTTCATGTTTGTTGGTAGTCCTTCGAAAATGTCGACTAGCAGAATTGCAACCAGCAGGAGTAACCCAAGAACCAATCGTCATCGATTCTCTCTTTTGATGACCATGGCTTCACTAACCTATTTCGCACTATATCTGCTATGCTCTTATATCATCCAGAACAACAAACGTATCAATGAATGTGTTTGCCGTCGAGTTATTAACGAAACAGAAAGTCGATGAAGAGAATCGATCAAAATCACTTGCACCCCTGCTTCCAAGTTTGGTTACAAGATTACAACTCTGGAGAGCAGTTTGTGCGGTCGTTGGAGGCGTGTGGTTCTGAATATGGCGATGAGTGTGCAAAATGTTACACAATTGCATCCTCCCTATTCGCACACGCCCGAAGATCGAAGGCGAATGCTACTTCAGCTTGTTTCGTCTACTAACGACTCTCTCTTTACAGTGTTGGGGACGCAGCTTATGCATGTACGTAATTGGTGTATTTGGTAGTTATTTCGACGCTTTTGGACAATGCATGACATTTACCACTTTTTCAATAGTTTTTTGTTGAAAATTAACAAGCATTGCTATCGGTGCGTAGAAATATTTCTGATCGATTGGTCATAAAATTATTGAAATTGTTCCAGGGGCAGCTGAGTTATTAACGTTCAAAATCTTTCATAATTTCGTTACATGTTCCATTTTCGGTTTTCACCAAGTGTACCCCCATATTGAAATCACAGACGTAGTCCTATGTCAAAATAGCAATCTTAAGGCACCCTCAAGTTTGATGCATTGCCCCATAATATGTGTCTTAGCAAAAAATGGTGATTTGTGATGAAGGTTTAGAGGTCGCGCAAATGGTTTGAAGTTTGTTTGGGGATTTCTATGGAAGAAGTTGAAATTTCGCAAATATCGCACTAACTTTGCTTCTAATAGTCTAAATGCTGAAAAAATTCAATCTGTAGCTTAAAGACAACTACCAACAAGCCTGTGTTGTCAATTTGGTAGTGATTCAAGTGAGACAAAAATGTGAAAAATGGCAAAATAGAGTGAGTTGAAAGTTGTATATGTGCCTAACTACAACACCAATTTCATCACAACAACAGCAGGTCACAAACACAGATTCAATTTTGACCCATAAGCAGAGACACTTACGCGTGATCCACAGGACCAAGAAGAATATCCTTCCAATGATAAAAATGTTCAAATCCGATACAGAAAAAGCCATCAAACGAGGGGATGTCCCAATGAGTGGGGAGAAGAACTCACCTTCAATTCACGAAATATTAACAACAGGGAATTGGCAATTCCACTCTTCCCATCCAAATTGCTTCAATCAGACGCCCTCATGATCCCATCCCTACCGAATGAATTTATATGGTTTTATGAAAATATGTGTATGTATATGAAATTTATATGAAATACGATACGAGATAATTCATATAGTGCCTGCGCTACCTTGGCGCTACCGATCAAATCCTGTGCAACACTTGCGCCACACTTTCAACCACATTTTCTTCAAATCCTTCTCGTTTTTGAAGACGTTCTCTGTTTTCCGGAGCTTGCCCTTCATAATCGCCCAGAGTTTATCTATTGGTCAGAATACCGACTACATGAATCAACAATAATGAAAATCAAAAATTTCGCATGGTTATTCGTAAAAATTCCCTACAAACTTAAAACTATTTGTGCGACCTCTAAACCTTCATTAATTTTCACCGTATTTTGTATAGATTCAATGGGGTTATGAATCGAACTGACTGAAAATTAGCCTATAAGATTGCAAATATTATTTCAAAATGATTTTATATTGCCTGTCGTGGGGCAACTAGATTCAAATGAAAGTATCTGAATTTTGTAGTAATTATTTTCTAGTTTTAGATCCACGTGGTTTAAGCTGCCACCGTCTATTGTTCTTCGAGTGGTTTATGCTCAAAACTGGTCTATTTTTAATTACAAAGCGATATATTTTTGCAAAGATAGAGACATACTCTACACTACAAAGTAGTGTATTTATGCTTTCTGAAGTGCTTTGTAGGACATACCTAATTTTTATAACAACTTCAAAAAGTGTTATATTATAAAAAGATATCCACAATAAAAGAAATGTAGTTTATTTCTTCTATAGACTTTTTAAAAATATTTCATATAAACAGCTTTTCTAGCTCAACATAAAGCATACTTGAACTCAAAACAAAACCGGAAGGTCGATCATTGCCGTTTTCAAGTACAACTTTTTGCCACAATGACATAATAAAAATGTTTTGCACGTAAATTTTCTTTAGAATTTTAGAAAAAACAGACTTGCTTAGATTTTCGTTTTTTTTCAATATTTTTAAAATAATCAAAATATATTTTTGTCGGAGTGGGTTTGCTTTAAAGAAAACTCTGATTTTCTTGGATTGTTGATTTAATTTTTCCATATTTTAAGTAAAATTTAAACGCAACAGAATTTGTTTGCTTGTTTTGGACATTACGGTTCCGGTAACGTCAAAACATGAATTAATAATACTCACATCACTCAAAATGCTGCTCCTCTTTCGATGCTCGCACCAACTCGGTTACTCTCCTCCAGTTTCAGTATTCACTTTAAATAAATCACTTTAGCACTCCTCGACGCTAACCGTGAACTAAACAAACACACTACACAGGGCAATTGAAAGCAAATAAATCAAGCATCAATAATAAGCTGCTGCTGCTCTGGCTGCCCGCTCGGTTGTTCCCATCAATTAAATGCATTAACATTTTCCCCATTAATTCAGCGCTCGATTTTCCGAATCGCGAAAGAAATGCCGGTTCAATCCGATTTACCGTATGCAGCGTCAAATTCACTCTCGGTTTGCTCGCACTCACGCACTAACTCACTCTCGCACTATGTGGATTTCAATTGATGTTTAATTACCATTAATTTCACTTGATTTTCATCACTGAGCTTCATGCATTATGCCTCCGGGCGATGTTGGTTGATGCTGCAAACGTACACTATTGGTTTTTAATTTCTCCACCGGTGAACTGTTGGGAAATGGGGGGGTTGAGAGGAGGAGTAGAATTTTAATTATGCTCTTTGCTCTCATTTCCTCACGCAAATAGTGAACCTCCAGCCGAGTGCCGAAAATTAATCGTTCGATGTTTGCAAATCCACGCCCGTGAAACTGATGTCCATACTCTGGACATCCCCGGGGAAAAATGTAAATGTTTCAGAAATTATGTAAATTTTAGTTGCATTCGAAATGTGTTTTGAAACTTTTAAGTTTAAACTATCTTTTTTATTTGATTTAAGGTTCAATTGTCTGTTTAAATGTACTCAATTTAATTAAATATTCAATCGTTTTTCGTCTAATACGAATCTTTCCATTTGTTAGATTAGTTAAATTTTCAATTGATTATGCACTCTGAATTTCTGTGACTTTCTTCGGAGTCCTTTTCCACGTGGCACGCAAAATCTCACATCGGGTGCTCCCCCCAACGGGCCTTGAATCGGGAGAAGTATATCACTATTTCAATATTTGTACATTTGCTTTGATAATATTTAAAACACGATTTTCGCGAGAATACAAACAAAGCCGCGCGAATGTGACACCATGGGTTGGGGAACGACAGTCGACGTCGTCGCTTGCAAAGGCCACTCGAATTTGATTTTTATTCGATATATTCGGATTCGATTTCCAGTTGATGAATAAATGGACACCAAAGCTGAATGGCAGTCTCAGGAAGAGGGGAACCGATGCGGTGACGGGCAAAGCAAAAATAAATACAAACATGTATCCGTGTGCACGAAAACCCGGAAAGGCAGTTGTTTGTCTATTTTTGTAACACTTGGCCAAAAACCAACAAAAACCGGAGCCAACAACGAGCACTTGAACAGAACCGTGCAAAGTCCGTTAGAATCGCAACCATAATAAAAAAAAAATACTCGGATATAGATTTTTGCCAAACGGCGCATTCGCTCACTTTTCCGCTTCTTCCTCACATCCTCCTGGATGATCGGCGGGATGATGTTCGATTCAGCAGTCGTGAAAATAAATTGTATTCCACTTCGAAGCTTGAACCGCCTCAGCAAACATCAACATCAACACCAACGACAACAATCAAAGCACAAACTTTGTTCGGAAGGGAAGTAGCACTTGCGGACTCGGGCTTCAGGGAGATGTTATCAAAACATTTCAAAAAGCCGTCAAGTGAACTCACTCCGACACGATTCCTTCTTGCCAGTGCGAAGTGATTTGTTATCACACAATTACCACCATGACGGCAGAGGCAACACACCACCCGATAGCGACACACTGAGCCGGCTCGTAATTGCGATGTATAACAACCGTGTTAGAATCAACGATCGATCGTCAGTTTCCGAGTGAAAACCATGCGCACGATCTCGCGGTTCGAATGCGACTGCCGGAGCGGCTCAGTGCGACTCTCAGCTGTTATGATCACTCCCGTGCTGCTTATTCCGCGGCAACCTGACTGAAACATGTGCGCTGCTTAGCTCAATTCTCTCAAGTTCTCCTTTTCCCATTTAGCTAGCTAAGGCATGAACCATCTGCTGCTTGCCCTCATCCCACGTTGGTAGCATGACATTGACATACTGGAATGGGGTGGGCAGAAGATGGTGCGATGATAGTGCGATGAGTCTATTCGCGAGCACTCGTTATCACGTGTCATCATCTAATGGGATGGTCTCGTGCCGCCACAACATGCAAAGCGGGTCTAGATTTGGGTGGAGCACATTGTTTTCGCTTAGGGACAGCAGTCAGTTCAGTGGGGATACATAATCGATAAAAGGGCGGAAGGATTACGCTGCTGGTTGCGGGTTGATGGAAGAAAGTAGGTCGGTTGAAATCGATACGATAGTTGTTGAAGTAAAGTTGAAATGTAAGGACGATTCGCAGATGGAAATATGAAGGCATATTGATATAAGAACAAGAACATCTAATCAATAAATAAACCAACGAAAGGAAAAAAAAAGGTGAGAGGTTGTATCCAAGACACGACCGTAGATTTGACGTAGGATTATGAAAGGCAGTTTTCATGTCACAGAAAAAGTATAGTAAATATTGAGCATGAGCATGATTGACCGCCCACGGTTGCTACTCTGTTATTGCCAGATCAGCTGTAATTACACAGAGAATCAATAGACGATGCTTGGGACTAGCAATCATCCTCAATGTGTAAAAACTGGTGATCTCAAATTAGGCAATACCAGCGCCAGCCGCGCCTGAACGCAGGTCAAGAAAGGAATGGGTAGGAATGTGTTGACGTGACACTCGCTTTGATGGAAGCCGAGAAATCCTCTGCACTTCCACGAGGAGTCATTGGGATGTTGGGTAAGAGGGTAGGGTTTGCAGCAAGGTTCGTTTTGGTAAACGGTAAGCTGAATTGATGTTTGAACCATAGGAAGGGGTTACTGTATATATAAATAAAAAATAATGATCGCAGCCAAATAACCAAGTGGAGCTGCACCAACAGCAACCGGCCAAGTTCATATTATATTATAATAAAATAAAAGGTAAATAACAATGATAAGCTATTTGATACACCTTCTGGTCCTTCAGGATCTGCAGGACAACTATTTTCTAGAAATGAAAATTTTAGTTATAATGATATAATGAGATTTTAAATATGTGAAATAAAAGTAATTTACTAGTCATGCAATATATAAAAGAATGTAAAATAGACAAGTATTACAAAATACAAATAAGCTCGATTTCAGTTAACGTCAATACATTCAACTGATTTCAACTTCTGATATTTTATTGGAATTGAAACAAACACTTTATTATGCGCCATGGAATTTCTTAACGCAATATGGAATGCTTTTAAAAATATTGATAATCTTTCATAATGCATCAATAGTTAGAAAAATTGAGGTTATTTGGACAGTTAACAGGTTTCATGCAATGGATATCATGCATTCCAATGTTTTTTATATTTTCCTGAACGAAGGCTGAAAATAGTGGATCATTATAATATTAATCTAAAAATGTCGAAGAGCTGAAAATAAATTAAAGTTTTAAATCAATGAGTCCAGCCTAAACGGAGGGCTCGCGAACACAATAAGCTTCCTCATCACTCATATTTCGAATTTGATTAAATAAGTATTTACAAATATACAAATAAATATATCAATAAGTAATGTAACTTTCTATCCTGGAGAGGAAAAATAAAATGGTTAATTGCACTGTCATATAAACGTTAAACATACATTAGATAAAAAAAAGTATAGTAAATATTAAATTGATTTCTTAACTCGTTACCAGTGAAAAATTTCGATAGGTTGAAATTCGGATGCAATTTGAGAGTTCTGGTTTTGAGGTGCTCTGTCGATGTCCATGTAGTACAAGCCAATGCTGGACGATATGTCTTGAATTCAAGCTCTTACTCTTTAGTTAACTCTTTTATCAGTCATAGGTGGTCCTGAAAAGGACCGATGGGTTGGAAGCTTGGAAGCTAGTTAAGAACAATACTGGGAGATGACAGCGGAGCGGAAATGAAATATGTATTAGGGAAAACAAATCAATCACAGCACCTGAGCCTACCGGACGGCAAGGATTTTTTTGATATAATGCTCTTAATAGGAGGGGCTTGACATTTGCACCAAAAGGCATAAAGATGGGTACCGTCTGGCATGCTCAGTGCTTGGTATCAATATTCGGCGACTGTGTTAGGGAAACCACTTTTGCTATAACGGAAACGTCTGCACAAAACACACGGAATTTTTGGTTTATTCAATAGATAATAAAAAAGTAAATCGACAGTGAGCATGCATAAGGGCGTAAACGAGATGATCGATTCTCTTCGTCGATTTTCTCTTTTGTTAATAACTCGCTAGATTTAACGTTTCTCGGTCCATTTGCTGTTGCTTTTGATTGCCAATACAACCTGTTACAACTCTACATTAGCATTAGCATTATTGACCGCCCACGGTTGCTATTCTGTTATTACCAGATCAGCTGCAATTACACAAATAACCAACAGATGATGTTTGGGACTAACATTCATCCTCAATGTGTAAAAACTGAAGATCTAATATTTAGCAATACCCAGCGCCGGCCATGTCCGAATGCAGGTCCAATAGGGAATGGGAAGGAATGTGTTGACGTGATACTCGCTGTGAAGGAAACCGAGAAATCCTCTGCGCATCCACGAGAAATCACTGGGATGTTGGATGTGTGGAAAGCTTTGCAGCAGCAGGGATCGTTTTTGGTAAACTAATGCTGATTGTAGTGTTTTATAATAGGTACACAAACACAAAAACGCACGCATACACACGCACTCGTGAGTATAAACAGAATATAAAATGATATTTAATTGAACTTTAACTTAACTTTAACTTAACTTTAACCTAACTTTAACTTAACTTTAACTTAACTTTGACTTAACTTTAACATAACTTCAACTTAACTTTAACTTAACTTCAACTTAACTTTAACTTATCTTCAACTTAACTTTAACTTTACTTTAACTTAACTTTAACTTAACTTTAACATAACTATAGCTTAACGTTAACTTAACTTCAACTTAACTCTAACTTAACTTTAACTTAACTTTAACTTTTTTTTTTGTTTTTTTTAGTTATAGTCACTTTAACGCTCTTGGGTCACTTGTGACTTGTCCGGGGTTGAGATTAGAACTCGTGACTTTGGCGTGAGCGGTATGGATGCTAACCACTACGCCGGGGTCGCCCCCTGCTTAACTTTAACTTAACTTTAACTTAACTTTAACTTAACTTTAACATAGCTTTAACTTAACTTTAACTTAACTTTAACTTAACTTTAACTTAACTTTAACTTAACTCTAACTTAACTTTAACTTAACTTTAACTTAACTTTAACTTAGCTTTAACTTAAATTTAACATAACTTTAACATAACTTTAACTTAACTTTAACTTAACTTTAACTGAACTTTAACTTAACTTTAACTTAACTTTAACTTAACTTTAACTTAACTTTAACTTAACTTTAACTTAACTTTAACTTAACTTTAACTTAACTTTAACTTAACTTTAACTTAACTTTAACTTAACTTTAACTTAACTTTAACTTAACTTTAACTTAACTTTAACTTAACTTTAACTTAACTT